GAGTAATTAGGAGAAGGCGGAGGAGGAGGGAGGAGGAGGAGGAGGAGGAACAAGAGGAGGATTCTAGAGGAGGAGGTGGAGGAGTAGGGAGGGACAGATGGGGTGGGAGCCGGGAGGGAGGAGGGGAGGGAGGGATGGCGGGACGGAGGGGGGGGGAGGGAGGGAGGGAAGGAGGGATGGAGGGATGGAGGGATGGAGGGGAATGTGCGGGGCGCTGAGGCGAAAACGACATTTTGAAAACCACCCGCCTTCAATCCGTGGCACCCTGGTAATTTTTCAAAGCGAATGTGCGCGGCGCAAAAACGAGAACCACATTTTGAAAACGACCCGCCCTCAATCAGTGAACTTCTTGCAAATTTTGAAGCGAATGTGAGCGGCGCTCAGGCGAAAGCGACGTTTGGAAAACGACCCGCCCTCCATCTGTGAAGCGGTTGCCATTTTCAATGCTTCATAGTCATAAATGGTGAGGGGGTCTCAGGCGAATCGCCCGGCCCGCCATAAAACTGGCCTCGGGGTGCGACAGGGAGGAGTTTTCTATAAGGAAAAGGAATGGAGGATGGGGGGAGGAGGGAGGAGGAGAGATGGGAATGAGGAGGAGGGGGGAGGAGGGATGATATGGGAGAACAGTGGGGTGGGATGGGGGGAGGGAGGATGGGGGGGGCGGGGTGGGGGGGCGACGACTATTACTGTATTTGTCTTCAGCTGCTAATCGTAACAGGGCGAATGCTAATACTACGACGAATACGGCGGATAGTCACACGGACGAGCTTAGGAATTTGAAGATAACGTGTATCAGTAAATTCACGGGCAATCGCACGAATCATAAGAACATGGCGACGCAGACAACTTACGAACAGTAATTACGATCACATCATGTCGGACGGCTTAACATAGTAAGATGGTGAAGTGTAGCACTACGAAGAAGAGTACCACAAGCCAGGACAACGGGAACATTACGGATCTTATCGTCACGGTTAGTGGATATGAACATTCAGAAGAGTACGATTAGTGCGAATCATGTGGAGATGACGGGGGCGACTCATACGACGAACAATCATACTACGAATACGTTGGATACGGACAGTAAGAACACGAAACATGTGATCAATATTTGGAGGTCTGAAAGCAGATTCTGGACACGAAGACTACGGTGTATAAGACGAAGTAATTTTCGCACAGTAATACTACATACACTGCGACTGCTACCACGAATCGTATCAAGAAGACGGATAACGAGACAGCTGCAAATTCTAAGACGAACGCGGATACGAACCTGAACAACAGTTCGGAACACATGACAACGACGACGAACAATGATATTACGAAGACTGCGCATCACCATATTGTGAATCGTAACGCTAGTAGAGCCATACCGTTAACGTTACGAAGCAATGAGACGAAGAAGAAAGGTATGAATATTAGTCCTAGTCATACCCATACTAACAACACGAACACCAGGACGCATGAATACATTCATCGGACGACGAACACTATTCCGAATGCTAATCGTAAGGTGAATGATAACAGTGGTCAGACAATGCGACAAATCATGGTAATCAGAAGAGCTATACCAATAAGCAGAGCAGGGGGAGACGATGGAGACGAGGAGGAGGAGGAGGAGGAGGAGGAGGAGGACTGGGGGGCAGACATGAGAGAGGGGTCGTCTTTCACGGGCGCTGTGCTTCGCACCCCCCGCCCTCGGCGGAACCAGGACCCTCCCCCCCTTCGAGAATCCCCCCCTCCCCCCCCCACTGGGGACGCCCCTTCTCGAAAGTTCGGGTGTTAGAACCACGCGGAAGCAAGCGACGACGAGTACGACGACGGCGGCGACCCCGACGGCGATTACGACGACCCTGACGACGACGCCGAGAGACGACGATAACATCGACGCCGGCGACCTCGACGCTGACAACGACGACGACGACAACGGCAACGACGTTCGTGAACGACGATGACGACGAAGGCGGTGGTCCCAACAACGACGACCACCGACGACGACCAACGACCATCGACGACAACGCTTGCGACGACGATGCGGGCTGGACGTCAAGGGCGGCGGGCGGGTCGGGCGTGCCACACCCTAGCGGGCGGGTCGGTCGTGCGGTACCCTAAAGGTTATGATGTTCCAACCTACTTTAGCTTGGACCGCCAGAAAGAATTTCGAGCGCCAAGACAGTGTCGAAACTGGAGGGTTTCCACGCGTCGGGCCCCGGGAGACACTCGTCCGACTCTGCCCCGACACTGTTCCGGCACCGCTTCGACACTTTTTTCCGGGCGCTCGAGATTTATTTTGGGGATGTGGTCCGAGCGGGCGTGTCGGTTGAGCGGGTCGAGCGGTGGGAACAACATGACCTTACCAGCCTGGAACACATCCCTATCCCTATGCTGGGCACCTCCTCCTCACGATGCCAATCTTGGAGATTCCCTTTTTTTTGATTTGAGGGCGAATCCCTAAGATTGTCATTGCCTTTTGGCGTGTTAATCTTAGGGATAGGGATACGTTCGAGGCTGGTGATAACCCCAGCGGGCGTCACGATGCCACTCTTGGGGATTCCCCTATTTTTTGATTCGAGGGCGAATCCCCAAGATTGTCATTGCCTTTTGGCGTGCCAATCTTAGGCATAGGGATACGTTCGAGGCTGGTAATAACCCCAGCGGGCGTGTCGGGCGAGCGGGTCGGACGGGCGTGGCGTTCGAGCGGGCGGGCTGGCCTCCGAGCGCCCGAGCGGGCGGGGCCCTGGCGGGCGGGTCGGGCGGGCGGGGCCCGAGCCAGCGGGTTTGGCGGGCGGAGCAGTGGCAGATGGTGGGGCCGACGATGGGGGGCGGCAAAGAGGGGGGTGATGACTAGTCGGGGGAGAAAAAGATACGGATACGTGTTGTCCACCTTCGTTTTCGGCCTTTCCTGGTCCTCCTGGGGAATCCTCGTTGTCACCGCTGGATTCGCCTCGAAATTCTGGTCAGAACGCACCCCAAGAGAGGTCCGGGGACAACACGTATCCGTATCTTTCCGCCCCCCAAACTAGGGGGGGTGGATGTTATGGCGGGGGCCATGATTTTTCCCCAGATTTCTCGGCGCCTCTTCTGATTTCATCACGTCCCTGGCCCCCCCGCTGGGCCGCGCACGTGCCGCCGGTCATGATTTGCACCCCCCCCTCTTGGACACCCCCCTCTTGGCCGCTCCCGAGACGAGGTCGATGGTGGAGCGACAGGCATGGTAATGCTTGGGGAGGGCGGCGCTTGCCAGCGTTCCTGTGCGTCACGCGCGCGTTGGCGGAGGGCACGTGGCGGACACACACGTGTTTTTTTTTGCGCGCGGTGTGTCGAGTGATCCTTCGAGTGATGATATTTCGACGTAGACAGTGCAGGAATGATGTTCACAAGCGGTATGCTCGCAGGTAGTTCCATTTCTCTCTCTCTCCCCTCTGGATTTTGTTTTCTTTGTGTGTGTGTGTTGTGCCTTTTGTGTGTGTGTGTGTGTGTGTGTGTGTGTGTGTGTGTGTGTGTGTGTGTGTGTGTGTGTGTGTGTGTGGGGGTGCGTGCGTGCGTGCGTGCGTGCGTGCGTTCGTGCGTGCGCGTGCGTGCGTGCGTGCGTGCGTGCGTGCGTGCGTGTGTGTGTGTGTGGGTGTGTGCGTTTTTTTTTTTTTTTTTTTTTTGTTCCCCTCTCTCTCTCTCTCTTTCTGTCTGTCCATCTGAAGAATGGCGGACAGGAGGATGTGAAGATTGCGATGGCCCCCCGTACGCGGCCCGATCTTCCGGATCTGCCTGGGCCCGCCTCGGCTCCCAGTGGCGCCTCGGCACATGAACCCTCCGCGTGAGAGGGGGCGAGAGACCACCAGCAAGCTTGATACCTCCCCGGGGGCCGGCTTATCATTACCAGCCTGGAACATATCCCTATCCCTATGTTTGACATCACCTCACCTCGATGCCGATCTTAAGGATTCCTTCAGTTTTTGAGGGCCTATCCCTAAGATTGTCCTCGCTTTTTGCTCGCCCATCTTAGGGATAGGGATACGTTCGAGGCTGGTTATATCATTCGGTATCGTTTAACCAATCGCCGTCCTCATCCCCTTCCCCTTCGAGACCCCCACCAAATTACCGCCTCAGTTGGGGAGATACACTCCTCGAGACCCGAAGGGCACGACCTATATCCCCATCTAGGGGGGTAAATCGGCCAGTGGGGCCCAGGCCACGCCGCTGGGGATGGGGATCGGTTAAATGATACAGTCGGGGCGCTGAAAAGGAACCCTTTTCGTTGGGGAGGGGCTCGGTGTTCCCCAATCGTGCCACACCTTGCCTAAGGTTTTCCTTACATTTTCGATGGGAAGTCGAAGCTCAACTTATGGAAAAAGGGGCCTCGTTCCTTATTTAGGGTTCCTCAGGTCAACGCCTCGACTGTATTCCATCCACCCCCGACGTCCGACGACCCTCTCTGTGTCCCTCCGCGGCCGCAGCGGTGCCCGGCACCCTCGGGGCCAGGTTGTTGACCCGGCTTCGCTTTCGATGGCCCCGGGGCCCGCACACGGTGCCCCCGAGGGCCCCCGGAATGGAATTGGGAAAAACCCGCCAGGTTGGAACAAATCATACCGTCGTCGAAGAGAGGAGGGGGAGGAGGAGGAGGAGGAGGAGGAGGAGGAGGAGGAGGAGGAGGAGGAGGAGGAGGAGGAGGAGGAGGAGGAGGAGGGGGAGGAGGAGGAGGGGGAGGGGGATAGAAGGAGAAAAAACGCCGTAAACATGATATTTTGGCGCTCCGCGTGGATTTCTGGGATCCGCGCTGGGCCCCCCCAGGCGGCGCCTCCGGCGCCGCTCCTGGCGCGCTTTTCGCGCCAGGGAGGGTGGTCCGGCGCGGATCCAAGAACTTCTCGCGGAGCGACAACAGTTTTTTTTTGTTTGTTTAAATTAATTTTTTCTTATTCGGTTCCGATCCCCACGCATGGTGGGACAGCGGCTGGCCTCTGCTGTGTCGGCTTGTCGCGAGCGCGGTGCCGTGCAGCGGCCCGAAGGCGAGGACCGCTGGGTCCCGCACAACCGGATCTCCGCGCGCCGCATCCAGGCGATGGGCTTCCGGAGCGACAACAACACCAAGACCTCGCCTGGCGGGCCGGGCCGTGCGGGGTCAGAGGCTACGTGTGTGTGTGTGTGTGTGTGTGTGTGTGTGTGCGTGTGTGTGTGTGTGCTCAGGTTGCGCAGCACGACCCGAGCAAACGGTCAAAGTCCAATTCGTTCAGACCCCTCGCAACCAAGCACGTGGACGACATCGGCATGACAGGGCTCGACAAGTACACTGACGAGTACGTTTGACGCGCTGAACAGATGTTTGGCGTATACAAACTCAATAAGCATGCCCCGCAAACTGCGCCGCACGGTATACTGATAACGTCAAAGGGGATGTGGTTATGGACTCAGACGACTACAGGTAAGTCGGGTCTGTCCCTCTACAGGACGAATATGTCAACATATTGATAAAGGATAGGAGGACACGTTTTGACTATTTGTGAATGTTTTTTGATATGTTTTGGAGTCTTTTAATTTTTCCGCCCGAAATCCCTGTAGGGGGACATGGCCGACCTGAGCCAAATGGGATGTGGTTTTGGACCCAGACGGCTACATGAAAACCTGGCGAGGTTGTCTCTGACGAGTCCGGCGGCCTCGAGCGGGCCCCCCCGCCTATGCCTAAGTCGGGCCTGTCCCTCTACAGGGTGATGTTCAAAAATGGTGAAAAAAAACAGTCTTGGGACGATTTGTTCAGCATTTTTTGATTATTTTTTGGGGGGTGAGACTTTTCGAGTATTTTTTTCTTCCAAAATCCGACGTAATCCGAGGGGGACATGCCCGACGTAAGCCTATGCTCTCCTCGCCCAGATCTGGTTGATGATGCACTTTTCGCGAATATCTATAGCCTACGAATATCTAGATGCGTCGCTTGAGCGCTGTCAGCAATCCAAAGAGGGTTACTATTTTGTTTTGAGTGTGCCCCTGAGGTGGGGTGGGCTATTTCAATCAGAGCTTGCCTCTGTAGGGGTCCTAGCAGATTCATTCGTCGCCGATTTCGGTGGCCGGACCGGGTGCCCGCCGGGTGCCCGGGTGCCCAAGAGTGCCCGGGTGCCCGGGTGTCTTGGGGTGCCCGGAGGTGCCCGTGGGTGCCTGGAGATCGGGGGTGCCCGGGTGCCTGGGTGATCCAACGCCCTGAAGCCCTACAGCCCTATAGCTCTATAGCCCTATAGCCCTATAGCCCTATAGCCCTATAGCCCTATAGCCCTATAGCCCTACAACCCTATAGCCCTATGGCCCTATAGCCCTCTAGCCCTATAGCCCTATAGCCTTATAGCCTGCTGACCCTATGGCCCTACAGCCCTATAGCCCTATAGCTCTATATGCCTATAGCCCTATAGACCTCTAGCCTTGTAGACCTATAGCCTTATAGCCCTATAGCCCTATATCCCGATAACCCTGTAGCCCTATAGTCCTATAGCCCCATAACCCTATGGCTCTATAGCCCTATAGCCCTATAGCCCAATCGCCCTATAGGCCTGTAGCCCTTATTGCCCTATAGTCCTATAGCCTTATAGCCTTCTGGCCCTATAGCCCTACAGCCCTATAGCCCTCTAGCCCTATAGATCCATATGCCTATAGCCCTATAGCCTTACAGCCCTATAGACCTATAGCCCAATCGGCCTATAGCCCTATAGCCCCATAGCCCTATAGCCCTAAAAAGATTAGGATTGGGTTTTTTCTTCGGTATCATTTGTTTTGAGTGTGCTCCTGAGGTGAGGTGGGCATCAAATGCGATTCTGTTTGCCGTGAGCTCGACGGGGAGGGGGCGGCGCGACCGTGGACTATGGTGTCAGAGGGGCGAGCCTGCTCTGGCGAGCAAGCTCGCTTAGTGGCGAATCCGCGGTGCACCTGCGTGACTGTATTTGCACGCTTCGTCGGTTTCAGGCGCGGTCTAGCTGCGCAGCTCAAGCGCTGGCGGTCGCGCGCAACCAGGGCGAGGCATATCTCGCACTCATCGCGCAGCATGAGTTGCAAGCTGGGCCACTATCACCAGAGGCACTTGTGGACTTAGTGAGATAGGTGGTCTGACTACTGAGGTTTCCTTAACTATTGTTGCGGACTCGGTGGATAAGCCTCTTTTAATAAAGACCTAAATCTTCCTGAGCGTGCGATACCCGGCCACATGAGTTGGGTACAGTAGTTCAAGCGCATAAGTATTGTACATGGCGTGCAATGGTGTGACGCGCGAGATATGACCGCTGATGGTCATACCACGGGTCGGACAACTCGACGGCAAGATATTATCGAGTGAGGTATTTGCAAGGTTCTGTCTTGCGGAGCGACTTCCCGTCTCCTGGCCGCCATCATCAGGGCGCGCGCCTACCTTCACAGGCCTTCCTTTGCAACCTCAGAGACGAGCCTGCGTGCGCGCCGCGCCGTATTTGGAAGAGAAAACTACCAGCCTGGAACATATCCCTATCCCTATGCTGGGCACCTCTCATCACGATGCCAATCTTAGGGATTGCCTTATTTTTTGAGTGCGAATCCCTAAGACCGTCATCGCCTTTTGGCGTGTCAATCTTAGGAATAGGGATACGTTCGAGGCTGGTAAGAAAAACCGGGGCACGCCGGCGAGAAAACTTATGTACCGCCCGGTCTCGGGGCCTGCCTGCTGGCCCTCCATGCCGGCCCTGCTGCTCGGGGAACGGGTCTGTTCGGGTTCCCTCCTCTTCGGGCCTCGGTACAGGATCTGCGAACAGTCCTGCCACGTTCATTGTCAACGGCTCCCCCTCCCCCAATGTTCAGAGTTGGCGGTGGGTCTGATGAGATGCACTTCGACCGCAGTCTCCCCCGCGCGTGCCAACAGTGAGGCTGGGGGGGAGGGGGAGTGTTCAGTAATTGTTTCCCTCTACCGTACCCCCTGGAGCTCTTAGGGATTGCCAAGATTTAATCATCCGTTTAGGCCGAGCTGCCAGACGCGCTGATTTCCGTGCGCGCCGTGCGCTGACACCACGAGGCCCAAAGGTATACACCACCACCACCACCCCTCTCATTCCCTCCCGCTCCCAGGGAAGCGGAGGGGAAGATGCGGGTGGAGGGGGGAGTGGAGGGGGGAGGAGGAATCGACGTGGTGGTGCTGTATGCTCTTGGGGCCCGCAGTTTTTTGTGACAGCAGAGTGTATCGGGGATGGACAGACCCCCCTTTAGTAAAACGTGGTTTAGTGAAAGCGACCTGAGGCCGAAACCCGGCGGGCGCAAGCCTGGAAAATAACGGCCACGGCGCCCTCTCGAGAACCGAAAACGGACAATTCACTAATCGACGTGTCACTGTTGGGGGTTCTGTCCACCCCCGAGTGTAGCGCTGTTACATGCCAGCAGGGTGCAGCGCGGTCTCCCCCCTGCCCCCGATGGTAGAGGAGGCGTCCGGGGGGGAGGGGGCGCGACCCGCGCTCCTCTGCCGTCCCAGTGCAAGGTGCGCTCTGTTTTTTGAGAGCAACAGGCCAGATGATCTTGACTTTCACCGATTGCATTCCCCCTTACACTTCCACTAGTCGGGGGCGGAAAAGAGGGGGGTGATGACTAGGGGGGGGTGGATATCATGGCGGGGGCCATGATATCTCCCCAGATCTCATGGCGCCTCTTCTTATTCCATTACGTCCCTGGCCCCCCCGCTGGGCCGCGCACATGCCGCCGGTCATGATTTGCACCCCCCCCTCTTGGACACCCCCCTCTTGGCCGCTCCCGAACTAGGGCAGCAGTGTAATTTCCATGTGACGCTACCGCGTTTCTTTCGGCAGTCCCGCCGCGGGGGGGGGGCGGGCGAATTGCCGATCAAATGAGTGCGACGAACATGTGTGAGAGAGGGTACCCCAGGGGGCAGGATCTGTTCCCCCAGGAAGCCGTTCCGCAGTGCAGCGGGATTGCGCGTGCGGTGGTTCTGATAAGGAGATGGAGTGACGGCGTCCCGCATGAGGATCCCGGTGCTCCGGGGGAAAGGGTTTGATCGCCCCAGTGGGGCGCGACTGCTTTGATAAAAAAGTGGAGTTATTACCCACAGTCAAATTGAGCTTGTTGAGTGAAGTGTGGGGGCGGGACGGACAACGTGAGGGGTGGACAGTCGGCTAGCAATAAAGAGTGGGATAACTGACAGAGGCGGCGATGGAGGTGTGGACCAATTTCGCGACAGGGGGTGTGACGTCAATCCATGGTTTGGTATTTGAGCTATTTTTTGGGTGTTCCAGCCAGTCGCATTCTATTTGGTCTGGGCGTGTAGCACCGGCTACATCGCTGAACGTGTGCAGTGGTAAGATAGGTAAGATATAGGGGGGTGGCGTGAACGCAGACATGTCCTGCGGGCATCCTGGTACTAGAGATTATCGCGACACTGAGTAGTGGAATCATGAGAAGGACCAAGCAACGCGAAAGAGGGAAGAATACGCGACAGCGAAAACATGAGAGAGGTAGACAAAACAGGGTGGCTCGCGGCCTGGCCTGGTGATTGAGTTGTTGGCCATGGGTGTAGAAAAGGGACGAACGATTTGGAGTTTTTGTGGCAAGCATATGATGGGTGGTAACAGGAGAAGGAAGAGGAGGAGAAGGAAACTGGAATGAGGAGTCGGCGCAGGGAGAGGAGGGAAGGAGGAGGATTGATGATGATGATGATGATGATGATGATGATGATGATGATGTTGATGATGATGCTTATGAAGATCATGATGATGCTGATGATGATGTTGATGATGATGCTGATGATGATGCTGCGGATGCTGATGCTGCTGCTGATGATGCTGATGCCGCTGCTGATGATGCTGATGCTGCTGATGATGCTGATGCTTATGATGATGATGATAATGATAATGCTAATGATGATAATGATGATGATGATGATGATGATGATGATGATGATGATGATGATGATGATGATGATGATGATGATGATGATGATGATGATGATGCTGATGCTGATGCTGATGCTGATGCTGATGCTGATGCTGACGCTGATGATGAGGAGGATGAGGAGGAAGAGGAGGAGAAGGAGGAGGAGGCTGGTGGTGGTGGTGGTGGTGATGATGATGAGGAGGATGTGGATTTGTTTGGTTGGAACGTTTTTGGTTTGCTTTGGGTCTCCGGATGCCTCTGGAAGTCTCTGGGCACTTCGAAGGCCGCCAGGTTTTTCTTTTCCCCGCCTTCTCCTCTCAGCATGCCCCCCCCTCCGTCCCCCTGCTTCTTGACGCTTTGACAGTGATAGAGGGGCAGGTGTTTGGATGAGTCTCAACGGTGGGTATCTGACGCAAGCCACTAACCAGCAGTACGCCGAGATGACTGCCGAAACCAAGGACGAGCACCCCGGGCCAGCACCGCGCGGTTTTGGGCCCGGAAGGTCCAGGAGGACGACCTCCTGGTCTCGGAGGGACGGGCTTTTCAGGCCACGATCGACGGTTCAACCCCGCATGATCATGTGTTCAGATGGAAGCGGGACAGTTCGGAGTGGAGAAGATGAGGGAACGAAAGAGGGGCGACGAGGAAATGAGAGAGTGGCAGACGTGTGGAACTGCTTTTGGGGAACACAAGGAACATAAAGAGGATAAGACTTTTTGGGTGACGAGGACGATGAAGCCTGAAGGAGCAGCATACGTTCTAAAACAATTGAGCGCTCGAGGATGTGAGCAGGAGGAGAAAAACGAGGAGGAAGAGGGGGAGTAGGAGTGAGCAGGAGGGGGTAGAACATATCATGCAGCATTCAGCTGAGCACGCGTCCGAGCTTGGCCGACCCCCTTGGGGTCACCAAGCGTGCGAGATTGCGCACCCTCACCCGCCCCCCCCCCCGCCCGCAACCGTCTCTCAGAAGGCGGCGGGGCTTCTCAGAAGCCCTCGGGCCTTCTGATACGTTTCCCGTGCCTTCGGGAAGGCTAAGATGACTTCTCAGAAGGCCCGAGGCCTTCTGAGAAGTTTTCTAAGCTCCAGAGGGGAAGTGAGCAGGAGGAGGCCTTCTCAGAAGGCGACGAGGCCTCGCAGAAGCCCTCGGGCCTCCTGATACGCTTTGCCGTGTCTTCGGGAAGGCTTCAGAACAACTTCTCAGAAGGCCCGAGGCCTTCCGAGCCTTCCGCGACGGTCTTTCCCCTTCTCGCTTTCCCCGGCGGGCGCGCCTCGGGTTGACCCAAAAGGGGTCCAGCGACAACGGGGTGGTGCAATAGATTTGGTGCAATAGATTTGTGGGGTTGCAATACATCTGGGGCGTGCAGCACATTCCGGGGCGCAGATGTATTGCCGGATTTTCGCGCGTACAGTACATTACTTGCAACACAATGCAACGCAACTCTCCGGCGCAATACATCGGGCGAAGAGAACTACGGTAGGTTTGCGTCGTGTCGACCAGCGGCGACCCCAGCGCGGGCGTTCAAGGTTGAACGCCGCCGGCGACCCAGAATCGATCGATGTTGAACGATCGGACGTTGCGGCAGCGGCCGATCGTTCAAGGTTGAATGATCCCTGCGGTGTCAAAAACCAACGCTGGGGTCGGCACGACACGAACCTGCCGTATGCACATGCACCGATCCTGGCAAGGCCCATCCTTGGCCCAGGATCGGCGCATCTGCCTTCCTGGCCAAGGTCGGAGGGCGTGTGCACCGATCCTGGGCTCAGGATGGGCCTGGCCCGAATTGGTGTCTGTGCATAGTTCTTTCTCAGGAGGGGAAAAAACACAGACACAATTAATCGTCGATCCCCAGGACAATATAGGAAACTATGGGCAGTGGGGGGGAAGACAAAAACCCAGAACAAATAGGAATATATGGGGATTTTTTATATTTGTGTGTATTTATTTGTGTGTCCTGGGACCCCTTGATCTTTTTCCTCTAAAGCATTTGCAATGCAGTTCTGCCCCAAAGCTATTGCACCACGCCCTTGCAGCTGGACAGCTGGACCCCCTTTTGGGTCACCCACAGATTTTCCCGCCGCCGGGCCGCTTCCTTGGACGAAGAGGAGGAGGAGGAGGAGGAGGAGGAGGAGGAGGAGGAGGAGGAGGAGGGGAGGAGGAGGAGGAGGAGGAGGAGGAGGAGGAGGAGGAGGAGGAGGAGAGGAGGGGGATAGAAGGAGAACAAACGACATAAACATAAACTTTTGGCGCTCCGCGCAGATCTCTCGGATCCGCGCTGGGCCCTCCTCCCTGGCGCGCGGGGCGCGCCAGGGGCGGCGCCGGAGGCGCCGCCAGGGGGCCCCGGGCGCCGATCCAAGAAGTTCGCGCGGAGCGCCAAAAGCTTACGTTTATGGTGTTTTTTCTCCTTCTGTCCCCCTCCTCCTCCTCTCCTCCTCCCCCTCCCCCCCTCCCCCTCCTCCTCCTCCGCCTCCTCCTCCGCCTCCTCCTCCTCCTCCTCCTCCTCCTCCTCCTCCTCCTCCCCCTCCTCCTCCTCTTTCTCCTCCTCCTCCTCCTCCTCCTCCCCCCCCTGGGGGTCCGTAGCCATTTTGGCTCAAGATGCCAGGTTCCCAAGGGGATCGCACGGATACCGCTAGTCCGCGGCAGGCAAGAGCCTTTGTGCTCTGGCAGTCGGGCGCTATTCCTCCAGTCTCGCGCGCGCGATGGGGCGCGGCGGTGCGGGACAGGGGCGTGGAGGAGGTCGCCAGGACGGGCCCGTGGGATGGGTCTGCCAGAGCTGCGACTACTACAACTTCGCCGAGCGCTGGTGCTGTCGCCACGGGTGCCAGAATGGCAAGCCGTCGCAGAGGGTGCCGGGCAGCTTCTTTCAGCAAGCTGCTGCGGGTCGTGGCGGTGCTCCTGGCGCTGGTGGCGGTGGGCGTGGTGGGCGTGCCGCAGCAGGCGCGCCGCCGACCCGTGCGCCATGGTGGCGTGGCGACGACGGCGGAGGCGGAGATGGTGGTCAGCGTGCTGCGGGGGTGGTGCTCAGCGACGACGAGCGGCGCGAGCTTTTCAGCATGTCGGACGGGCAGTTCGCCATCGCGGCCAAGTTCCTCGGTGCGAAGGTCAGGAACGAGCTGCAGCAGGCCAGGCGCTCGGTGCAGGAGGGGTTGGGCGACGACCTGTCCAAGGACAAGGTCGTCAAGGCGGCCCAGCTCCAGGCTGATGAGAAGGCGCAGAAGGTCAAGCGGTCGGAGCACATGCTGGAGCAGTCCAAGGCGAAGGCGCGGGCGGCCATCAACGAGTCGGTGGTCCTCGCCGAGAAGCTGGTGCACCTGCGGCGGGAGCAGGCCGATGCAGCCGCCAAGGCGCGCGAGGCGCGGGCCACCCAGGGTGCCAGGTTGGCGGAGGCTGAAGGAGCTGCTAAGGGGGCTGCTGTTGCGGCCGCGGCCCCTGTGTCGCTGCACGTGGTCAATGCGGCGCTCGAGGGCTGGACCAAGTCCAGCGGCGTCGCGACGAGCCCAGTGCTCTGCGACGGGTTCGTCAAGCTGTCTGAGGCGGTCGATCGGCTGTTCGAGTGGAAGAGCAAGATCGCTGGGGGTGGGCCTGGGGGGCCTGGCGCAGCGCTGCCGCTGCCTGCGGCGCCTGGGGCTGGTGCTGCCGCTGAGGCTGGGGCAGCGGCAAGGCAGCCTGCTGGCGCCGAGTCTCAGCGCCCACAGGCCTCCCCTGAGGCGCAGCAGGTGTGGCAGGAGCTGGAGGAGCAGTTCGAGGACCCCGAGCAGAGGAAGGCGGCGGAGACCCTCATCAGCGAGGCCAAGCAGATGCGCACGGGCGACGACGAGTTGGGCACAGGATCCTAGCAAGGGGCTGGGCGTCTGGCGCATCTGCACCATCAGTGTCAATGCGTTCAGCAGCCTGGGCAAATTCTTGATGGTGAAGGACGTGCAGCGCTGCGACGCCATCCTGGTGCAGGAGACCAGGTTGCAGGGGGGCAGGTGCGTGGATGCGGAGGCTCAGCTCCGCAGTCAAGGATGGCGGGCGAGGAGCTCGCCAGCTGTGAGATCTGAGTCAGGCGGGCTCGGCACAGGAGGGCTCATCACCATGGTGAGGAGGTGCCATGGAATGGCGGAGGTCCAGGATCTCCAGGACGCGGTGGTCGTTGAGGGCAGGGTGCACGTGCACTGGGTGTCGGGCGCGTGCGACGGGGGCTTCCTGCTCGCCAACGTGTACCTTGAGGCGGGGGTGGGCCTCAACATCGGCAACGTGTCGAGCCTCGGGAGGCTGGCGAGGAGGTTGCGACAGAGCCGCAGAGAGTACGTCATCGGAGGGGATTGGAACCTCAGCGAGGAGGAGCTCCAGGCGGGCGGGGCGCTGGCCATGTTCGACGGGTCCGTGGTCAGGCCTGCTGGGTCCACTTGCATGGCGTCGGGAAGGGTCATCGACTACTTCCTGGTGTCGCGGGGCTTGCTCGCGAGGGGTGCTCAGGTTGTCGCTGGTTCGCCAGCGTGCCCGCATGCGCCTGTTGTCGTGGAGATCGCCAGGCAGTGCGTGGAGGGCCGCGGGCCTTTCCTGAGGTCAGGCCGCGCGGCTGCTGCGCGAAGGGCCACCACAGCAGCTGGCTGCGGGCGAGGAGGGAAGTGAGGGTGCTGCTGGAGCCAGTGCTAGCAGCCGCAGAGGGCGAGAGCCCGAAGGAGGGTGAGGCGGCAGCTGGTGAGAGGCCCAGAGAGAAGGGAATGTGGTGGCCCCGAGGCCGGTTGGAGGAGGGGGGCAGCGGGGCGCGGTGCCCCGAGGGAAGGTGGTGGCCCCGAGGCGCTGCCGAGGGCATCCTCGAAAAAAAGCCACAGGCTGAGGAGGCGCGCGCGGAGCGCGCAGCAGAGGGGGCACCCGCGCTGAGCGCCGCAGAGGGGCAGCATGAGAGGCCGCGAGAAGGCGGCGAGGAGGCCGACAGGAGGCCAGGCGAGGAGGGAAGGTGGTGGCCCCGAGGCGCTGCTGCAGGCATCCTCGAAAAACCACGTGAGACGGAAGAGGACAGCGCGTGGTCGTGTGCAGAGGGAAGGTGGTGGCCTCGAGGCGCTGCCGTTCGCATCCTCGAACAACCGCGTGAGGCTGCGGCGCGAGCTGGCCGCGCTGAGGAGGCGACCGCGCTGGGCGCCGCCGGGGCCCAAGGAGGTTGGCCGCAGGAGGGCGGCGTCGCGGCAGGCTGGGGGCCAGATGGCGAGGGAAGGTGGTGGCCCCGAGGCGCTGCCGATGGCATCATCGAAAACCACAGACGGATGACCAACCGCGGTGGGTTGAGGGAAGGTGGTGGCCCCGAGGCTCTGCCGTCGGCATCCTCGAAAAACCACAACAACCCCAGGGGCGTCGGCGCGGAGGAGAGAGCGGCCGCGAGGTGGGGCAACCTCCGCAGCACGTTGCCACCTTCGCCCGCGCTGGGCGTCGGGATCTCGGAGGGCAGCCTGGGCAGGTGCTGCGTGCAGCACGGGG